GAGACATACCTCCCATGCATGGATCAAATGAAATGTTTGGGAAAGTGTTTTATAAGCAGAAAAACTCTTTGCAGACATGAGTTCTTACAGAAGTTTCAGGGAATTTTGCCTCTAATTAGATGTCACCTTACCATTCCCTGTCAGTTTTTACTTTTGTTTGTACATGTTAAATTAAATCAAATGAATTAGGTCCATCACTCCCTCAAGAAAAGCAGATATGTAGCTATTTAGTTATTTTTTTAAATTCCTGGGTCAGGCGCAGTGGCTCACGCCTGTAATGCCAGCACTTTGGGAGGCTGAGGCAGGTGGATTGCCTGAGCTCAGGAGTTCGAGACCAGCCTGGCCAACATAGCAGAACCCCATCTCTTCCAAAAATAGAAAAAATTAGTCGGATGGGGTAGTGCGCGCCTGGAGTCCCAGCTACTTGGGTGGCCGAGGGACCAGAATTGCTTGAACCCAGGAGGCGGAGGTTGCAGTGAGCAGAGATCGCACCACTGCACTGCAGCCTGGGTGACAGTGCGAGACTCTCTCTCTGTCTCTCAAAAAAGAACAAGTTCAGGTAACCAGAGTGAAGGGAAAATAACAGTGGGATAGAAAATTAAAGTGACAAGTTCTGTTAGTACCTGGAATTTATAATGTCCTACGTAATGGCTGGAGATGGGAGAGAGCACGATTCTGAGGTAACTGACAAGAAGGAAGCGTGATTGGCTACAAGAGCCCCTCTCTCTCAAGAATAATCATGTATCAGTCACACTGGGGAAATGCATCTCTTCCCAGCAATGAGGTGGGAAACCCCTTTAGTGGATTATCTCAAAGAGAACATTCTGATGTTTCGAGTAACATGCTCAGCAACATCCCCATGAAGATCTGGGCAGGTGTCTGACGTTGTTTTGCTGTTAGTCTTCAGTAATGCACACTGAGGGCATGGGGCCGGAGCACCAGCGGATGAAGGCAGCTCTCCCAGAGAACACAGCGGTGTGGCCTGCTGTGGCTGGCTTGAGTTAGCCCTCCTGTTGCCAGCATCTAGGATAACAGGCGGGCCACTGTGCATCACACACTCCTTCATGAATGCCATTTCTCATAAGTGAGCTTTTGGCAGGAGTTGGGCAACAGATAATCCAGAGTTATGTACCAGGCATCAGGAAGAGCTGGTAGGTGTCTGCTGATGCCGAGCGAGGGGAGCAGGCCCGTGTTGTTGGTGCCCTCAGCACCTGGTCCGTGGCAGGCCTGCAGTGAATCTGTCTACAGTGGTTAAATGTCCACATCACATGTAGGGTTGTCCCCCTCTTCCTAAATCCTTGTTCCTCATCTCCACCTGAAGGGAAGCCTGGGCAGTAGCTATTGACTAGGCCAAGGTGCTTCCTTAGGAAAAAAGTCTGGGACTGTCTTCATATATCAGCCAAACACTTCAACATCCTATGCCTGGAAACCTGGATTTTACCAGTTTAACTAAAAAAAAATTGGGGCTGGGCGTGGTGGTTCATGCTTGTAATCCCGGCACTTTGGGAGGCCGAGGTGGGCAGATCACTGGAGGTTAGGAGTTTGAGACCAGCCTGGCCAACATGGCGAAACCCCATCTCTACTAAAAATACAAAAATTAGCTGGGTGTGGTGGTGGGTGCCTGTAGTCCCAGCTACTTGGGAGGCTGAGGCAAGAGAATCGCTGGAACCCAGGAGGTGGAGGTTGCAGTGAGCCAAGATCATGCCATTGCACTCTAGCCTGGGCGACAAGAGCGAGACTCCAGCTAAAAAAAAAAAAAAAATTTAAGTCAGGCATTGCAGGTCAACCCCTATGACATAAGAAGAGCTCAGTAATATGTGCACCTGAAGACTAAAGCTCCTGTTAGTGTTACAGGATAAGTTAGTTGAAAAATGTCAACATTGGTGAGTAAATTATCAGACCTGCTATATAGAATTGTTAGACGTGAACGAATTTACTGCTGGGGATGGCTGCTAATTATGACTTTAGTTTTAGAATAGATGATCAGAGCCATTTTCTTTTCCCTTGAGGACTTTCTTAGTATTTGACAATAAAACTATTTTAGCAATTTACAGGAAAATACTTACTTGTTCTCTGTAGCATGGGAGCCTGAACTAGGCTCACGCAAAGATGGTTTCAAGTAATTATGATGCAGGTAATGAAAAAGGAGCCAAAATACATCCCTATTTTAATTCTATTCCAAAATTCAATTGATCAAATATTTATTGAGTGTCTACGATGCGCTTTTGGCCCAAGGCTAATTAAGAGGAGACGGTAGTGGCCAAGCGTGATCTCATCTGCCAGGAGGTGGCCAAACCCACATCCTGTTACTGTTGCCCAGAGTTAAAGCAGAGGATGGTTCTGATAGAACTATACGCGATCTTTTTTCCTTACTTACGGAATTCTCCGCAAAAATGATAAAGTGTGCACACAGTAGCCAACAGTAGACTATCAGGCCCCTAGTAAGCATGTAGATGATGAACACACTGTAAGTCCTGAATTATTATTAAGGAAGTGGAATAGAGTTTCAGTGCCATTTCCAGTTAACCAGTGAATCTTTAATTTGGGGGCAGTGATGGGCGAGTGGGATTCATTGAATATTTTCTTTTTTGAGAGCTAACGTTGAGCTCCCATACATGGTCTGGTGGCCAAGCCATAAACTTCCTTAAGAATTTCTTAAACCAGAGCTGTTTGGAGCTGATAAGAAATGTATAGCGGCATTCAGGAGGGGAGCGGCTGGCCCCACCTTGCTGCCACAGCTGGCGCGGTCGCCCCTTCCAGCTCGCTCAGTTACTCCGGACTCGGAGCAAGCGGCCTCCACGCTGTCACACACACGAGGCACTAGAGGCCAGCTGTAGTCCCCACCCGTCTCTTCTTAGAGAATTTCCCTGTGAATAAGGTTGATGAATTAAAAACCAGGAAACAAAAGGTGAATAGTTTTTGGCTGTCATTCCTCTTGACCAGTTTGTCTGGCGTCGCTTTCCTGATCAGCACTCTGCAATGCTTTGCACGGCCCAATGGCTGCTGCTCCTGAGGGAAGTCAGGTTTTTATGGTGTCAGCAGTTTCCAAATGGACTCTGTCAAAATCATCCTTGTCTTGGACACTTTATCCCTAGACTTCTGCTTTACTGTTGGCAGCTTCATAGGCCAAGTACGATTTTATTAGTTCTGCAGCTAGAGACAGATAAGGCCCTGGTGCCGCTGTCCTCAGCAGGCTCACAGCTGAGTGGAAACAGATACAGAATGAAATGGTTCTGATCCTGTATGATAAAGGCGTAATGAAGGGCACACACAAAGTGAAGGGAGCTGGGGAGCATGTGCTGGGTGTGCCCTTGGCCTGGAGGGCACGGGGTTAGCACCGTTTCCTGCCGTGAGCCACTGAGGGTGGCGGGAGAGAACCACGCACATGGCAGGCTCCCCAGGGCTGGGATGTGGGTCTCTGGCGGGGATTGTCTGCTGAGTACTGTAGGCGTGCTTTGCACAGGGCAGGATGGAACAAGGCACCTGAGGTCCCTCCTCACTGAGAGAGGTGGGGATTTTGTGGATTCGGTAAGGCAGTCGTTATTACACGGTATAGGTTAGGGTGCACTGTGGCAGAAAAATCAACCCTGAAGTCTTTGTGATTTACTGTAACAACAGTTTCTGCCTCACTCACACAAGTTTGATGCGGGTTGGGCGGCTCTCCAGGGCAGCTGAGCTCTGGGAGGTTGCTCTGTGCTCCAGGCTGCATCTGTCTGGTGCTCCACCTTCTCAATGTCCAGCCTCCAGGATCGCCATGGCTGTGCGGCTGAAGGAGAGAGCTGGGGGCTGGCCCATCGCTCTAGAGTGTGTCTCACAGAGGCCTCGGTGGCTCCCACTCACAACCTACTGGCCAGAGCTCCTCAGGGGGCCTCACCTTCCTGCGGAGGCCAGGAGGCGGGGGGTGGGGGGCCCGTAGATTCATCACGATCAGTGTCACTATCCATCTTCCTGTTTTCCCACCTCCACCCCTCGTCCTTTCTGTCTGACGTCCAGGAGTGTTCGAGATCTTAACCACTGTCTTCTCAAACTGGTCACAAGGGCGACAGCACCTTCTAGTGCTGTGGTTTAAGAGCATAGTGTCACCTATTGTTATTGCTTTCAGCCATGGGGGAGTTGGGGGATTTGGGGCAATATACTTAGCCCCTCCTGTGTGAATTTCCTTATTGATGACATGGAGACAATAGTGGTAGTACCCAAACTAAGAAGGTGGTTGTGATGTTTCAGTGAGATAATACATATGCAGTGGTTAGCACAGTGCCTGATCACGCTCAGGCTCCATGGATTGGTACATTTATCTTAATGCTAGCTGGATGAATTTGAGCATGAGTATAGATTGGCAGACATCCATGGCTGGGATGCTGTGGGAAGCAATGTCAGATGCAGATGCTGCTGCTGGAGAGGCAGTCATGCATGCGAGTAGAGCAGAGGGTGCCGTTGACCTTCTCATAGATGCCATCTCTTCCCATGGGTCAGGGTCTGGCTGCCACTTGCTGCGGGCAGGTCCCTCGGGAAAGGGAGAGGCAAAGAGAGAAGAGCCATTCTGGGCCGAGCAGTGGGCCCCGTGCTAGGAGTCTTTAGCTGGATCCTCCCCACGGTCCACGGGGAAGGTGGTGGCCCCACCTGCACTTGATACACAAGGAACCTACATCTTAGAGATGTCAAGGCACGTGCCCAGAGGCACACAGCTGGTAAGTGTGCAGCGAGATTGCAAGCTGGCCTTTCTGACTCCAGACCACCCTTGGGCCCAGTTCAGGAGCTCCCAGTGGGAAGTGGCTGCTCCCCGAGTTCCAGGGATCGATTTCCCCTCTCTGGGAGAGTCTTGAGTTACTGTTGCAGCGCTTTCCTGGTCTGTCCTGCTGCCTTGGAGTGCTTTTCCTCCCTCCATTTATCTTCTTTCTGACCGATTTACTGTTTTTCTAACACATCATGTTTGGTTGTGTTTATTCTGAAACCAGGCTAACAAGACAGTTGAAGTATTTGTGTTCTGTTTGAAACAACAGGCATGTGAAACTGTTGAATCTCCCTGCCAGCCTCCGGCCACACAGAATGAAGAGCTTGCTGGGCCAGAACGTGTCGACCAAAAGTCCCTTCATCTATTCACCAATTATCGCACACAACCGTGGAGAAGAGCGGAACAAGAAAATAGGTAGGATGTTGATCCTGGCTTTCCCACCCTGCTATGCCACCTGATTTCCAATGGCTTTTCTAGATTTTTAGAACAGAATTTTGGGCCAGTTCATGCATGTGCGTGTGTGCGTGTGTGCGTGTATGTGTGGATGTGTGCACGCATACGTGTGTGTGCATGTGTGCATGCATGCGTGTGTGTGGATGTGTGCATGCGTGCATATGTGTGTATGTGTGCATGTGTGCATGTGTGCATGTATGCATGTGTGTGTGTGCATGTGTGCATGTGTGCATGTGTGCATGTATGCATGTGTGTGTGTGTGTGTGTGCATGTGTGCATGTGTGCATGTATGCATGTGTGTGTGTGTGTGCCTGTGTGCATGCATATGTGCATGCATGCATATGTGTGTTTATGTGTATTTGTGGATGTGCATGTGTGGATGTGTGCACACGTGTGTGTGTGTGTGTAGTCTGTCATGGAAGTTTATTTGATTTGCTGCTTTTGGCAGGCAGTTGCCCATAGATCTAATTTTTAAAAATGTATTTCATATAAGGTAATTTTGTGAAAGTTCTAGAAACCAGAAAGGCTTTTGTTAACTGAGACTTATGTGAACTACAGAAGAGTGACAATTGGAGATGTAGACTGATTTTCCAAGGGCTGAAGTGACTTTTGAATCATCAGAGAAAGATTCAGGGTTGGGTTGTGTTCAGGATTGAGTGGGGGATGAGGTAATTGTGTTCTGTTCTTTTGTGAACACAGGTGATCAGGATAGCCAGTCCTGGGGTTAAGCTGTGCTGTGGGAGAGACTGGGAGTGGACAGTTTCTCCTGAGCTTTCCTGTGTCTGAGCTCTCGTCCCTCCTGCACCAGGGCTCAGCATGCACCGCCGGCCCTGTCCCTTGGTGGCCTTCCCAAAGCCCGGCTGTGGCAGCAAGCTCCCTGTCCCTTGCTGCCACAAAGACACGCCTGAGGCCTCTTGCAGGAGATTGTGATTTCTTGTCACTGGCGACCACTGCTGGTTGAGCCCACATGTCCTGTGACAGAGCCTTGAGGGCCTAGAGGCTGGCCGCTGCTTGGCGACAGCCGGGGCCTCCGAGGAGTGTGAGCGGAAGGCCTGCACGACCGTGGTGCTCTGCGTTTGATACACAGTGCTTTCTTCTCCTTCTGTTTCTTTATTTCTGCTCTTAATTCCTTTAACTCCGATTTAGGAAAAAGGCATTCCAACTCCTTTTTCCACCATGCTTTTCTTCCCAGGACAGAGGCTTCCTCTTGCACTCGCAAGCTCACCCACACCCCGAGTTACGGACTGCAGGCGCTTCCCGACCCCGCCCTGCCCACACCCTTCCCTCCCTGTCGGGTTTCTCATGCCGCCTCCTGCCACCATCACTCTGGTTTAGCCACAGCCACTCCTTTCGGGTCTTGGAAAGAAACAGGCTTGTTCCAGGCCCAGGGCTTTGGGGCTCGTTCTTTCCTCTGCCAGGAACTCGTCCCCTGCCCCTCTGTCATTGTTGTCACACCCTTTTGGTCTCTGTTCACATGCCCCCTCCCTCAGAGGGGCGTTTTCTGATCCCAGCGCCTCGCAGGCCACTCCTCCCGCCATCTCTAGCGGCACTGTCTGCGGTTCTCTTCCCGGCCTTTCTCCAGCCCAGATCCACACTGGCCCGGGATTCTCTTCCCGGCCTTTCTCCAGCCCAGATCCACACTGGCCCGGGATTC